GAACATTAGATTCTTTAGGTTGTGTTTTATCGCCTCGTTATAGTTTGCTCCAACTTGGGCTTGTTTCATGTCCCTTAAGATGATGCTGGTGACCTTGGTGGTTCATCATAGTTGTGGGTTGGTTCTAGTTGTGCTTAATTTGGGACTAGAGCGGTGTGATTGGGGTAGGGGGGTCGTCCCTTGAGTTCCCTTTCTAATTATTGATTTTAAATCTCTTTTTGATCCCTTTACTTGTTGATTAGCGGTGGGCATGTTACATCCTTATTGAGATTATGATTGTACAGTAGGAACCGAGACTATATGTGAGGACCCGTTGGATTCTAGGTTAGTACTCTGTGTCTTGGTAGTGTGGTTTCATTGACTGTATAATTATTTGATTTTGAGTGCCTTGTTTGAATGATGGTGATGGCATACATTACATTGTTTGTGCATTTTTACCGATTATGGTGCCATCCCAACTCATGCATTGATATAATTATCATTCATGATAAAATACTGGTTCACTCATCGTTTTTTCTAAATTTTATGGGGGTCATACCATCTAGATGACTTGATGTTTTAGAAAATAAAAGACTTAAGTTTCGAAAATCAACTTAACTTAAGTTTATAGAAAAATGATGAGAGTCTCCACTTAACTTTTGTAAATAAATTAAGAAAACTTAAGATTTTCAAAAAGATTTTAAAATAAAGAAAAAATCATTTGAAAACTAAAGAGGGCTCGGGGTTCAATTTACATTTTGAGAAGGTTAGGCGCTAGAAATGTCCGCTAATGTGCGTTTGACCAATGACTTGACTAAAAGCATTGACTAATTTTGAAAATATTAATTAAGTAAGAAAACCCATTTTTATTCGGAGGGAAATATACTTAAAGGGATAATTTTAAATAAAACAACTCGTATATTAACAAAACAACTAATAAATAAAAATAAGTAATAAATAAAATATTGATTTGAACATAAAAGAGGAAATGACGTTCTTTTGAGAATTTAATTAAATAAAATCAATTTAAATAAAAGGTTAGTTAATATTGTTATACCCCTTTTTAACTCGAGGTCCAAACAATGTACAACATATTGGTGATTCTTAAGATATTTTAAAAAGTCACCACCTAATTATGTTAAAGGTGAATTAGGACACATTTTATTAAAGTTATGCTAAATTAACTCTATATTAAGGTCTACTTAACCTTGTGTGATTCTAAGGGTTATGATTTATCCTAAAGGGAAGGGGTAATACATCTTTTAAAATATGTTTAAAACGATTAATCAGTCAAACTTAGATTAATTAATTTTAAAAGAATGATATGAGTGCTAAAGATTAAATAATTGAGTAACGAAGTTGGAAACCATTTTTTATTTTAAAAACTTCTTTGCAATTGTGTTAGAATGAAAAAGATTTAAGAAAGAGTAAATTGTTTAGATAAATTTAGACATTCATGATCCATGGTTAAAAAGATAATCAAGTTGGATATTTTCTTATTGATTGAAAAAATGCTCCCTTTAGAAAAAAGTTTTAGAAAAATAAGAGTTTAGAACGGAATATATTATTTGTGAAAGAAATTGTCAAGTTTGAACAAAATTTAATAAATCTAGTGGGTTTTAAAATAAGGCAAAATGAAGTGTTTAAATAGAATTTGCCAAATGAAGTTTATAAAAGTTAAAGTACTTTGGGAAAATTGTATATATGTCACGACCCAAAATGATTCGCGAGTGGCACCCACACTTATCCTACTATGTGAGCGAACCAACAAATCTAAACCTTAACATTTACCACCATTTCAAGCATAATGAACAAAATATAAAGCGGAAGACACAAAATCTTATTAATATAACCAGTACATAAGCTTCTAAAAGTTTATCAACTATTATTCCCAAAACCTGGAAGTCATCACACCAAGAACATCTATCCTCAAATTTCTAATTCTAAGAGTATTTAAGAAACTAAAATAAGTAAAGAGATGGTCCATGTCCGAACTTCAAGACATCAAGACATGAAGGAAAGAATCCAGTCCGAGCTAGGAATAATAGCTCACCCTGAAATCTGATATGCTGAAGACTGGCTAGAGTTGCGGACGAGTCGAAGTCGATGGTACGTTTGCTGCACTCCATAAATAACAAAGAGAAAAATACAAGTAGGGGTCAGTACAAGGAACACGTACTGAGTAGGTATCATCGGCCAATTCAAAATAGAAAGCAATATACATCGAGAAATAATATAAAATCAACTACAATACTCAACAGGTGGCAACAACAAGTACAAGAACCATTGGCAACAACACCAAGCACACCTATGAGGACTCAAGCCTCCACACCATACTCATTTGGGAAAAAGATTCTTTAAGTTTGAGTATATTACCATAATTCAAGATTCATTCTCTTTATTCCTCTTGTGTCGGAACGTGACACTCCGATTCCCTAATACTACGTGTCGGTTCGTGACACCCGATCCCCTAATACTACGTGTCGATTCGTGACACCCGATCCCCTAATACTATGTGTCGGTTCGTGACACCCGATCCCCTAATACTACGTGTCGGTTCGTGACACCCGATCCTCCTAATACTACGTGTCGGTTCGTGACACCCGATCCCCTAATACTATGTGTCGGTTCGTGACACCCGATCCATTAACCTCATTCTTTTAGTTCATCAAGCCTTCCTTTATATCAAGGCATCATCATTAATAGAGTGGATTTAAGGTTTTTAAGATTTCACAGTATCATCATTATAATCCATCACCATTTACATAATCACAACATGCAACAACACAATTAAGCATATAGAAGACTTTACAATACCACCCAATACATATCAATCGCTATTTAGAGTTTACTATGAAATAGCATAAACCATAACCTACCTCCACCGAAGAATCTTGATCAAGTAAGCTACTTCCCAACGCCTTTTTGCTTTTCCTCTCGTTCTCTCTCTCTCACTCGTTCTCCTCTCTCTGTCTTTTTTTTTCTTCTCCAGATTCTTTTTCTTTTACCCTAATTATCATATACTTCATTATGATAAAAGTAACCCATTATCTATTTCAAGGTTACCTCCTTTAACCCCCAAGTAAATAAGTTATTAAACTTACCCACTAATTTCATACAGTTTGTCATAAATAGTCCAAAACACCCCTTAAAACTTTTAGCAGAAATCCGACCCAGTCGAGGTTACGCCGCTCGTGACGGTCCCTCGTGCCTGCGACGGTCCGTCCTGCAGGGTCGTCACAGAGTTCAGAGACTCAACTTCAGTAAAAAAGTTTGTGACGGCCCGTCGTATCTACGACGGTCCGTGCTGCAATTTCGTCGCGAAGTTCAGAGAGTTGATTCCCCGTACCCAAATTTCAAAGTTTAAGTGTTTTGGCACGAAGACACTCGATGGTCCGTCATGACCATGACGGTCCATCGTGTGATCCGTCGACACAGTCAGTTATTATCATAAGTAATTCTACTACTCGAAATGACTAAACAGGTTGTTACTATATAATAGCAAATTATTAATTCATATTAATGATATAAATATACTTTGATCTAATTGTACCTTATAATAAACTATTGCTATTTTCGCCTCTCTCCCTAGTGGAATCTTGCTCGCCACTCTCGCTTTTTATACAAAATACAAATGTATAAATGTGTTTGTGTTCGTATAAAGCGAGAGAAAATTTTATATATACATATATTTTTGCTCCCCTCTCACAGATCTCGCTCGCCACTCTCCCAAATCTTGCTCGCCACCCTCGCCTCTCTCTCTTATACAAACAGAAACGAAATGTATAACTTACGTTTTTGTTTATATAAAGCGAGAGAAAAATGTGCATACACATGCAAATATATATATATATATATATATATATATATACACACACACACACACACACACATACATTCATCCTATACATTTATAAATATAATATATATATATATATTTTCTACCACTTTTGTTTTGACTTTTTCTCTTTCTCGTTTTATACATACACAGATTACACAATTGATATTTTTGTATACACCTGCTTTCTTTTGTATATGTATAGTAAATTATACAGCTGTTTTGTTTGTATATGTAATTATACATCTGTTTTTTTATATGCATAACGAAATATACATATTTATGTTTGTTATGAAGTGCAATTATGCAAACTATAACTATAACATACAAATATAATTTTTATGTTTGCTAAATGTGAAAATTATTGTAGGTCTGTTTCTAACTAAAGATATGATTTTTATGTTTGCTAAATGTGAAAGTTATTGTAGTTTTGTTTCTAACTAAAGGTATCCAAACCCAAACATAAACATCTATGTTTAGTTAACTATTATGAATCCAAACTAGATATATCAAAATCACACAAGCAAACAAAAACACGTAAACAAATAATGCAAAAATGTAAGTAGCTATAAGTGACTCCAATATAGGATCACTTGTTTTGCTTGCAATTTCGAACGGTAAAAGATGAAAGGAAGACTCCACGTGCGGGTATGAGGATAATGTTGAGTCTATGAGACTCGATAACTTGCTAGAGTCTTGCATCAAAAGACTCCATTTTGTTCCAAAGTTCATGCAAATAATGAGAGGCTAAAAAGATTACTGAGATAATCAACGTTAAAGTGATATCGAATAAACTAAGCCAAGTGAAAACATACAATAAATGTACTATTTACCATTCTGTGATTAACGACTTGTTAACCGAATTCAAAGCAAATAAGCTACAACACCAAACTAAAATTCTCAAGTTCATTTTATTTAAGCTACAAGAAAATTACTTTTACGACAAAAAGAAACCAAATCATGATCCTTCAATATTCTTACACAATCATTATTAGATAAAACAAAACTTGTGCAGCTGCATCCACTAAATGGAGAATAGGAGAGGGGCTTAAACTCAAGTCCATATGTAGTAAAAATAGAGCAGAATGAAAGAAGCATTAATGTCATAATATGTTTACACTTTATTGCAATGTATACGCCCAAAAATCAGTCAAGGACTAGGTCCTTGACTCAGCAAGAACAATAACTAAACATATGCGTATACTTATTTTGATAGGACTAGGTCCTCAACACAGTTACAATAACACACAGTTTAATAGGTGCTGAAAATAAAGATTGAACAAACAATTTTACGTGAAAACCTCCTTACTCAAGACAGTAAAATCATGACCTATCTCAACAAGAACTTTCAAACTGCTTCACTAATCTTCTCAAAGAAAAAGTAAAAACCAGTTTACTAGAGGAGATTAGCCTGCTAACCTCCACCCTAAGCAATACGTCCTACCACTTAGATGAGCCAGAGCAGATACCACACTGCCCACTAAGCTACCTACCTCTAGATAACTTAGACTTCGACTAAGAAGATACAACACTGCCCACTAAATCACCTACCACTAGACGACTTAGAATTTTGGTAGAACAGAATGAAGATCTAATTCATTTATAGATTAGGAATAGATTTACAATAAAAGACACGAGACACAAAGCTTAAAATACAACAAAGACTCTTCAGTACTCCATCTAGTCCTTTGTTGATATGAGCAATGTTCTTCTTTGAAGATGACCTTCTTTTCAAGCTTGTGAATTTTTAGAAAAATCCAGGTTTAGTTTGCCAAGTCTTAAGTTTTTGTTTGTTGGAAAGAGATAATATAAATCACCACAAACTCTTGAGACAATCCCATTGCTGAAGGTCTGCTATTAGTAAAGTTGTACACCTACAGTAGCAGCCTTTCTGACAACTATCTTGTCACCTTTTCACGCAAGCAATCTTGCCCCAGATCCTTTGCAAACTTCTTTATGAGTTGTTGAAAGGTTTGCTGACTGACTTTTTTCTTTGTATGAACGAGTTTATTTGTTGTTTATCATGTTGACTAACTCAACCATAAAGTGTTTATTGATCATTGGACAAACAACTGGATCCATTTTGATTGGTGTAGTACACTGATGTTTCACCAACCTCCTGACGCGGACAACTTTTATAGTTGTACCCCATTTTACATCTGATGGAGAGAACTCTGGTAGGGACCAGGTCCCTTCATTTGTGAGACACTGAAACAGGCAATTTCGTCCGTTTTTTCTACTGACGTAGGACACTGCACTTTTCACCTACCACCTGAATATAACACATTTCACTACCTTATTCTCAAGTACACAATAAATGGATAAAACTAACTTCTTTAAACACACTTTCACATAACAAAACAAAGGCTGCATATGTTTGACAATATAAAGGCACCAAATGAACAATTAACTAACTAATAACCAAAAATTGATTTCGTGTGAAACTTAAAATGGAACCGTTGTTTAGTTCACACCGTCTAAAACATGACAAGTAGTTTCAACTGGCAAAGAAGACGTGCAAACAAAAATCACCTTGGCTCTCGAAGCGTAAATTTCGAAGAACATTCATGCACACAAAGAAATTTACAGATTTTATATTTTGCAGGTATTAGGATATAAGAGTGAATCTACTTATAGTAACTTTACAATCAACGTATTATTTTTAAGGAAAAACACAAAATCTGCAACTTATTTATCAACCAAAACAAAACAAATTAAGTCATGTAAGCACGTATTTCTGGTCATAAAACTAAAAATTCTTTTAGATTCAAAACGTATGAAACATAAAGGGAGCACAACTAAACTAAGCAAGATCAGTCTCAACATACAAATTTTTAGAGCAACATAACACTCCAATCACAGTAACAAAACAGAGGAAAAAGAAAAGAATGTTACCTATTGTAGGGCAGTGAATAGGGCTGTTGCGATCAAATGTCCATCGAACAATAACGAACTCGAGCAAATTTGAAACTTGAATTTCGTTCAATATCGAAAAAAGGAATCAAAGCCAATATTTTAGAGAAAAAAAATATTAGTTAAACAATAGTATGGGGCAATGGAAAAGCTTCTTAAAAAATGAATGCCAAGGCTTCTATGGAGACTGAAAATCTGCCTTATGTCAAGACTGTTTATTTATAGGAGAAGAATGATATGGTTAGAGATTTTTCCAAAACCGAGTTAAGAGACGTGTTTGAATTTTGAACGTTGCGTGATTGACATGAAAATAGGGCAGTTGAACTTTGTTCATGTCTGACAAGTTTGTTGCGTTCCTGAAATGGCGGAATGAGAGAGACATGGGAGTTCTGGCCCTAGCTTCCCCATAGAAAAAATTAGCAAATTAGTCAAACTCCCTAACATAATTATTAAAAACATCTATACTTTAAAATAATTAGAGAAATTGTCAATATGTCAATATTTTACCAAATAAAATGTATCTAATATAATTAATTTTCTTTCTTCTTATTTCTCAAATCAGACCCCACATTCCATTAATTTTACTCCCCAATACGTGTGAAGAAAGAAGAAAAAAACTCTCATTACTCACTTTCCCCTCTTTCTAGGTTCTTACTCTCAATTTCTCCCTTCTCTTTCTTGAGTTTTTCACCATTGTTCTCTTCTTTCCTTGTGAAAATCACATCTTTTATTTTCTTTCAATTTATTCAACAAATCTCTCTATTCTTTCAAAATATTGTCCACCCAATGATAAAAGTAAATACATTGTTGTATTTTTTGAGATTTCCCTCTATTATGTAAAGACACTATTAGTAAAATATAAATAAATTTTTTGCGTGCCTGAAGATTTCAAAATACTTGTTGAAGACCGAGAACAATTTCGTATGTTGAAGACCAAGAACAATTTTCTATTAGTTTGTTTTGTATTTATAATTTTTTTCTCGAAATTTTGTATCCTTTCTCAAGTAATATTCAAATTAGTATGTATGCTATTAATATTTGTATTCATTCAAAATATCATGTTATATAGTTCATGAATCTTGTATTTGTTCCTAATTGAATCCATCCCAAATGTATACAAACTAGATATGTATTTTATTTATATGAAGAACAACTTCCTATTAGTTTCTTTTGTTTTTTTATAAAAAAAATTCAGAATTTCATATCCTTTCTCGATTTGTATTTAAAATCATATGCATACAATTAATATTTGTATTCATTCAAAAAAACATGTTGCATAGTTTATACATTTGGTATTTGTTCCAAAATTGTATTTATTCTAAAGGTATGTCAACTGGTTATATATTTTATTTAAGAATGATTACAACAAATATTAATTTATTTTTTTTCAATTTTATATTTCATTCTCACTTTTTCATCATACTAATTTTTTTTTGTATTTTTGTATATTACTATACAAAATTCTAAATAAAAACTAGAATAAATAGAAATATAAATAAAATACATGTTGAAATGAATATAAAATGCAAGATTTTTGAAGAAAAAAATAAATAGAAGGGGAAAGAATATATTAATACAAATATGTTTCTTAAATAAATATAGATTCATTTGGCATACCTATTGAAATGAATACAAACTAATAAAAAAAATACAACATAAAACTACAATGAATATAAATAGAATACATAGTGGAACGAATACAATTTAAAAAAGGTAAAAATTCTGGAGAAAAAAGAGGAACAAATTTTGAGTTTTATTTGAAAATGTAAATAATTTATTCTTTAAATAAAAACAAATAATAAAAACATAAATAAGATACATAACAAAGTAAAATTTTGACATTTTTACAAAATATTAAAAATCTCGCTAACGAGCCATCTTATTGTTAAAATGTTGACATTTTGAAAAATTTCCTTCTGGATATGATGGAAGTTGGATGAAAAGTAAGTCATGTTTGGGCTTAGCTCTTGAGTTGTTGCGTTTTAGAGGCTTTGGGCAGACTTGGTGGCCAATTGGCTGAAATATTTGATCTTTTCCTTTCTACTTTAAATTATTTTGGGCTTCTAACTTAACGTTTAATACAATATATATGTATTATGGGATTATAACTTAATAATTTACATGATAAAATATCAATATTAAGACTTTATGCTAATGTAAAATACATGTACAAAATATCGACTTATAATTATTTTAATAAATGTAAAAAGAATTGAAATAAAATGACGACAATCGATTATTTGAGAAAAAAAGAGGTGTAAAAGGTGATAATAATCATTTCAATAATAAAACGTATCATTTTAGTAGATAAATACTCATAGTAGTAAAAATAGTTGTGAAAAAGATTATTTTATACATCATTCATTTAGATTCTCGAAAATAATAAATTAGAAGAAAGGAGGGTCAAAATTGTGTAAACAAATACAACAAATAAATAAAGGAAAATTTTCAAAATAACCATATTTTAGTATTTAATAGGATCTCTTATCAACACTTTTAGTATTTATTTGAAATGACAATATTTTGATTTGCTATAAGACTGACTTTTGTATTTATTTAATTAAAAAGAATACAATATCCTTAACATCAGAATGGAGAAAATCATGGGAGAAGATATTTCAAAAAAAGATAAAAATCGTTTAAATCTATAATTAATATTTAGTTACAATTGGAAAAAAATAAAGTTTCACCTCTCTCTTATTTTTTCAAACACCTTTCACTATTGTTCTACATATTTTCAATATCCATTTTCGAATTCTATTGAAATTGAATTTAAGTTTTCTTTGATTTTTGCCACTTTTCGTTGGATAGTTTGTTTTTGAATTAATCAATTGTTATTCAGATCCTATTACCAATTTTCGTTTCTCCATTGATAATTCTCATTCTTCATAGAAGTATAGTCGATTGATCATCATTATGGACAAGTCTTGTGCAAGAATTTTTACTTTTATTTGTCAGAAGTCATGGATCAATTGTGAAAAAAAGTTCATCATCTTTCTCTCCTAAAAAATACAAAATTGCATAACGATCAAAATTATGTGCATCATCGTTAAAATTCAAAATTGTATCTGTTCATCATCGTTTTTCTTGAAAAATTCAAAATTGTTGATAGATGTGGGAAGCAATTTTGAAATACAAAAGTGAAGCAATTCATCGTCAGTGTTCCTACAAAACTCGAAATCGATGATTGATCAAAGAAATTAATTGAAATATACAATAAAAAATCACATTTATTTCTCAAGATATGATCATCTCGTATTATCTCAAATAATTCATCAAAATTAGTGGTGATGCAGCATGAGAGTAGATTTTTGAAATTTTATTCAAAAACAATTTTATTGCTGCAATATTGTATATTGAATGATTGGAATACTAATTAGTTTGGATACAAGTTTGATGATATTGTGTATTAGATTATTAGAATATAAATTTATTTTGAATATAATTTTGATGATGTTATTCCTATTCGATATTGAATGATTGTAGTATAAATTTGATTGGAATACAAAATTTTCAACAATTATAGACAACAACTTATAGAATAAAATTTTTAAAATACAATTTTTGGAATACAAATCAGGTTAGAATACAATTTTTTCTTAAATTGAAAGTTACAAATAAAAGTGAATAATGAATTTAATCAAAAGTTAGAAAACATCTTTTTGAATACAATTTTCGAAATACAACTTTTAAATATAAAATCATTTTAGAATATATTTTTTTGTTTATCAAAAGCTACAAATAAAATTAGACGAGTACAAATAATTGATATGAAATATACAAAATACATTTATTTTGAATACAAATATAGTTGATAACTGAATTTAAACATAGCATACAAAATAATTAATTTGAATGCACATGGATACAATATGCTTAAATATATATAATATTGCTGAAAAATATAATTAAAATATAAAAAATACAATATATATACTAATATGAATAAGTTAGAATATACATCATTTTAGTCGTCTATAATTTCATTTAAATAAATACAATATTCTGAAAATACAATTGACATATAAAACATACAACTGACAATAATAATATGAACATAATTAAGTATGAAATTAAATATAATAAATATTTACTAAAATTGAAAAAATGTAAACACCAAAATACAAAACCTACCCAAATTGTAATGAGATCTACTTAAAAAATCATACTCAAAAGGAAATTTACTAAATAAATAATTCTGAAGTTGAATAAATTTGGACACAAAAATACATAAATGGTCAAATAAAATACAAATCAAAACTAAAATTTTTTGATATCAACCCAATAAATAAAAATCAAAAGAAAGTTATCCAATTAAATGAAAATATGATGCAAATATTTTATTTGATCTTTTTCCATTTTAATAAAAAATAAGAAAGAATTTGAAAGAATAAGAAGAGAAATAAAATTAATGAATACAGAGAAAGTGGAATTGATGAGGAGTGACATTATATGTATTTTAGGAGGATAATTATAAATATATAATTTGGTATAAAAACAATCTATGAGAGAGAACATATGATTAATGTGAAATAAATTAGGAACTAAACTAGGATACAATATATTTTTTAAGATATTGCTGTAGTGACATCTTTAATAATTACTTTAAAGTGTTGTTGTTTTTATCAATTGTGTTTGTTTTATGAAACATAAAATAAGAAGAAGAAAGTAGAGAGAAGAAAAGAGAAAGACTTATTATTTCTCTTGATGAATGATTTTACAATGAGAAGCAACCCTCTATTTATAGGGAAAATCTAGCTTGGTCCCTAAGTATGACTCTTAACCATATCCTAAAAGGACTACACATGATAGACATTCACTATAATACAAATATTTTATAATACTCCCCCTGAATGTCTAATTCATAGATGAAGTGCCTAGTCAAAAACCTTACTAAAAAAACTTTAAGAAAAAAGTAACTCTAGTAAAAGAAAAGAGTACACATATCTATTAATACGTATCTATGCTGCCTCGTTAAAAACCTTACAAGGAAAATTCAGTAGGACAAAACCTCGTAAGGGAAAAAGAGTACAACGCGTATTAACTCCACCTAATGAGAACATCAATCCAGAGACTTGAATCTTCGCATTCCAAGCTTGTGCACCATCTTCCTGAAAGTTGCATTTAGTAGAGACTTGGTGAATAGATCAACCACATTGTCACTTGAACGAATCTGTTGCACATTTATATCACCATTCTTTTGAAGTTCATGTGTATAGAAACGCTTTGGTGAAATGTGCTTTGTTCTATCTCCTTTTA